GCCCAGGTGGGTCTCGAACCCGTGGACTCAGGCAATCCACTCATCTCAGTCTTCCAAAGGCGCGGGATTACAGGCTGAGCCACCGAGCCCAGCTAAAAAGGTTTTAATGACCCTGCTTCCCATGGTAAAGAGGCATAGAAAATCCACACAAGTGATCATTCATAGGTAACTATAAGGCGAGGCTTTGGGGACCAAGCATTTGCTGTCACTGCACATTTCAGTAAAAATCTAGTGTGTCGTGGAGTGGGTGGTTTTTCCATGTGCCCTGCATAACCTGGAAACGAAAATGGCAAGTTCAGTGCCATAGGATTCCGGCTGGAGGTCTGAATGAAGAACCTGAGAGTGTCTATGACTGCTTGGAAAGAAATCCTCATCTCCTGCAGCCATGGGGTGAGATCTCTGAAACCCAAAGCCTAGTTTTGTAGATAACTTAATTACAGCACAAATTGATTTTCCAACCTTGTAGTGTCTCTTGTTAAAGCGAAGGGAAGTTGGGGCTGGGCTCAGTGGTTCGCGTCTGTAATCCCAGCACTCTGGGAGGCTGACGTGGGAGGCTCACTTGAGTCCAGGAGTTGGAGGCTGTGGTGAGCTGTGACTGTGCCACTGCATTACAGCCTGGTCGACAGAGTAAGACTGGGAAGTGAAAAGGGAAGCTGGGAAGGAATGGAACCTGGAATTGAATGGAACATATGGGCAGATGCCAGTGATGCTAAGGACGGCAGCCCCTGAATTCTCTTGAGACTTTTTTGGAGGCGCATGCAACTTTTCCCCTGCTGAGGAGCAGAGACTACTTTGCCTGTAGGACCCAAAGTGGACACTCCTCAGGGTCTGCTTACAAGGCACAGTCACCCTCCCCAGGGCCCACCACCACCTTTTTTTTGCTCCTCGAGCTATAACCAGGCCCAAGTTCCAGCAGACCCTAGAGGGAGGTGAGAAGCGTGACCTGCAGACACTATCAGTGGACCCTGCCAAGGCCAGGAATGTGCATCAGGGTGGAGGGTGTGGGTCTGAGTGGAAGTAACGTAAAGGGGCTCAGATTCAAAACTCTGGATTCAATGTGATGGCGTGAGTGGGCACGAATGGCCTTGAGGGTTTTTGTGGTTGTCAACTGGAAAGAGGCTCTGTCCTGAGTGAGTTCAATGCAGAACTTCCCGGGCACACTGGAGAGGATGCATCCCCAGGTTGGGGATCAGCTAGAGGTTCTGGAGGTTGAGAAGTCCACCCCTCAGAGGAGCCTTGGGACTCTGGGATCGTTCTTGCTATGGGCCAAGAACTATAGGGGGAACCGCTGCTGTCCACGGTGTCCCAGAGTCCAGGGGTTGATGGAGTCCGCATGGCAGCAAACACGCAGCTGTTCGTAATTCCCAAGCACGACGTGGGTGTGGCTACCCTTGTACAGAGGCAAAGGTGGAAGTGGGGTTGTCTGGCCACGGAGGTCTCCAGCACAGCTGGGGGTCTGTGATCGTGGTATCCCTAGAACTTTTTAAAGGGATCTCCTATCCAGGACAGCCTCCACGTCAGCAGAGGGTCAGGGAGCAGGACTGATTGGGATCCCTCGGCCAAGTTCCAGCCTTGAGCCACTGGACAGACTCGGAGCCCCTAAGTGGAGGAGAGATCGGGCCTCCTGGGGAAGGAGCCCTGCCAAGTGTCATGTGTGCCCTGGCAATCTTCCCACCAGCCTCCCCAAAGGACTTTCCTCCATGTGTTAGGAGACCATGCAGGCGCAGGGAAGCAGCTAGACCATTCAGGAATTGCTAGATGATGGGTCTGAAGAGACACGCAGTCTGGGGCACGCCCGCACCACTGTGGCCTCCAAGCAGACTCGAAGTTTATGGAGGTCAATGACCAGCTGGTCCAGGTGAGGCCCACAGAGGCCCTCCAAACCGGCCCTGCAGTCAGCACCCTGGATCGGGAATACACACGTGGAACATACATACTCAGCCAATGGACAGAGGCCATGCACATATGCGTGTCTGCGAGTGCCCATCTGAGGGCAGCCCATCCCACAGAAGAAGGGTTGGGGCAGGCTCACATCCCACCTAGGAAGGAACTGCGACCAGCTGAGCACCAAGGGAGCACAGACGGGTGGCGAAAGGAGGCATTTTTAGATCCCAGTGACGACCTTGTGACTAGCTGCAGAAATGAAGGTTGTGACAACCTCAGGAAAGAAACACACACTTTTCTTCCTAACGTTGATGTACATATGCTCCTGTGCCTATTAACCAAATATATACCTCTTTGAGCCTGGGGTCTAAGTAGCTGGAACTACAGGTGCTACCACCATGCACAGTTAATTTTTTTTATTTTGTAGAGATGGGGTCTTGCTGTGTTGCCCAGGCTGATCTTGAACTCCTAGCCACAGTGATCTTCTCACCTTGCCCTCCCAAGTTGCTGGGATTACAGGCATGCCCCCAGTCTACAAAACATCTTTTTTTCCTCCTCTCTCATCCCTTCACCGTCTAGAATATGGTGTGTTCAGAGTAGCGGACCTTGTGCTCTATGTCTGCCTGGCGGGGTACCAGGGAAGACAAAGCAGCCCAAAGTCACAAGCAGCTTCCCTCCTCTCCTGGGAGCAGGCTGTGTGTTTTGGGATATTTGCATCAGGCTAGGTGGTGTCATGGTGGGGGGACGCAGGAGCAATTGGGGCTGAGCTGGTGGGGGCTGCGGGGCTCTGGGGGCTGCTGGCATGGTGGCGTAGTGTCCATGGTGTCCCCTCCTGTACGCGGTTCTGGCTGGGGGTCAGCAGAGCCCTCCTGCAGGAGCTCTGGGGGTGGGAGAGAGGCAGCAGCCATCGCTGTGTGTGCTGGGTTGAGGCCGGGTTGAGGCCGGGTTGAGGCTGGAGGCTCAGGTGCAGACCTTCACCTGCCAGCCTCCTGCTGTGAGCTAGGTATGGGCCTCATTCTGGCCTGCAGCCCCAAGGGGTGGGGAGGATTTATCTTCATGACCCAGAGACTCCTGCAGCTGGGCTCTGCGATAGCCACTGAGGCTAGTGGTAGGGAACTGACCAGTTCGCCCTCATGGTTTCTGGTTCCTCTGTGCTCCCCTCCCCAGCACCACCCCTACCTGCTCTGCAGACTCCAAACTCCTGCAGTCACAGTTCCACTCACCCCCAGGAGCGCCAAGGCAAGTCCATCCCTGCCCTCTCTGTGTCCCTCGTCCTCTCTCCAACTCTCCCTCTCCCTCTCTCTGTCTCTGCCTCTGTCTCTCTCCCTCTTCCTCTGTCTCTCTGTCTCCATCTCCCTCCCTCTCCCTTTCTCTATCTCTCTCCCCCTCCCTCTCTCTGTCTCTTTCCCTCTGTCTCTGTCTCTCTCCTTCTCCATCTCCCTCTCTGTTTCTCTCCCTCTCTGTCTCCCCCGTCTCTGTCTCCCTCCTCCCTCTCTCTGTCTCTGGCTCTCTCTCTGGCTCTTTCCCTCTCCCTCTTCATCTCCCTCTGACTCTGTCTCCCTCCCTGTCTAACTCATTCATCTGACCTTCTGGCAGTGTTCTCAGCTGCACCTGCCTGACACAATTAGAGAAAGAATAAGAGAGGCGCAAGCGGTATGGGACCAACCGATGTGTGTCTTGCAATCACTTTGTTCACTCTTTAAGGTATTGAATGGGCCCAGACAAATCTGATAAACCTTTATTGTGGATGTGATTTTTAATTAACTGCTTAAGAAAATTGGATTATAGACATTTGTGATTGATAACTAAGGGTGTGGAAATTTAATCCCAGGATAGGCAGAAAGGTGAGGGAGGCCTAGGGGGCAGTGAGAACTTGCAACATCCCAGCACAAAGCAGCAGAGGTATACTTGGCACAGGCAAGTCTGCAGGGAGGCTGGGGTAGGGTGGAAGCTGCAGGAGGCTGGAGGCCAGGGCAGGGTGGAGGCTGGGGTTAGGGTGGAGGCTGGAGAGTGGAAACTGGGGCAGGGTGGAGACTGGGGGAGAGTGGAGGCTGTGGTTAGGGTGGAGGCTGGGGGAAGCTGAAGGCTGAGGGAGCCTGGAGGCTAGGGGAGGGTGGAGGCCGGGTAGGGTGGAGGCTGGGTAGGGTGGAGGCCAGGTAGGGTGGAGGCCTGGGGAGCTGGGCCAGGAGAGTGGAGGACAGACGGGTGGAAGGGCCAGGCCAGGGACCATGATTCCTCCCCTCCCTCCTTCTTGTCTATCAACCCAGGGATGTGTGCACTGAGTCCTTATGGAGTCCCACATGTGCATGCGTGGGAGTTTTTCTGAAATAAGGAGGCTGTGGCTGCAGATTGAAGGCCTCCGTGTCCTAGGAGGAAGGGCTGACCTGGGACACCTTCTGGAGCTGATGCACACAACATACATGTGCTGCGTGGTGTGTGTGTATGTGTGGTGTGTACATGTGTGCACTGTGTGAGGCATGCATGTGTGCATACGTGTGAGGTGTGTGTGATACGTGCATGTATGGTGTGTGTGCATGTGTGTGGTGTGTATATGTGCATTGTGCTGTGTACACATGCATTTGTACATGTGTGAGACATGCACGTGTTGTGTATATATGCACACATGCAACCACATGTGCCACATGCATGTGAGCACACATGTGTGAGTGTGTTCATGTATGTTCACATATGCGGCCCTTGTGTGTGCATGTATGGTGTGTTCATGTGCATGTGTGTGCACATGGCATGTGCATGTGTACATGTGCAGTTTGTATGTGTGCATGTGTGGTGCATGTGAGTGTGTGTATGCATGTGTGGTACATGTGTATAGTGTGCGAGTGTGATGTGTGGGGTGTGTGTGTGTGTGTGTGTGTGTGTGTGTGTGTGTGTGTGTATGGGGTGGGTCTCCCCTTTGATGGCTCGGACCTCGTCCAGCCTCCTCCCCGGGGCCTGCTCTGCTGGTCCAACTCACATGGAGTAAACTCTCCTTTAAGTGTGTGGCCCACGAGTTTTCGCTGTGCGGCCTTGAGTCATGTTTGGGGTAGAGCGCTCCAGCCTTTCAGGAGCTGTGGCTCCCCTGAGACCCTCTGTATTTTCCTCCATTGCTCCCAGCTCACCTGTCGGAGTACAGCAATGCTGCAGGCGCGCCATGTGCTTTAGTGCCAACCTGTGGGAACCATGGGCCATGACACCCCCACATGCCCACAGATGGGCAACTGTGTCTCACTAGTCATACAGACTACAGGGCTGTCATGTGACTTGGTCTGTCCCTGGGCCTTAATGAGAGGTGGCCTCCTGCCCGCCATATCTGAGTGTCGCAGTCACTGGGTGCCCATGGGCTCTTGGTGTCCAACTCTGGCATGCTGCACTGACACTCTGTCATACTGTCTGTTATAGCTCTAATTCGTCTTTGGTACTCACAGACCCTGATTCACATGGGGACACCGCCCAACTGGCTGTTGTGACCACTCAGGGCCTCACTAATCTGTGGGGAGCAAATGTCCTTTTAAAGCAGAAGATGCAGGCCTTTTGAACTGGCAAAAAATGTAAATGCGTTTGATGAATGCTTGATGCCTCTAGGAGTCACCTAGGGTATAAGTTGGAAAAATCCCACTAAAAGGTCTAGAATCCCAATTCCGTAAAAAACTCAGATGCAGAGAGGGAAACAGATAAAGGAAACCACACCCTGGTGCTGACAGCACTACTGCTGGGCATGAACTCGGGAGTGGGGGTAGGTTGGGGGACTGGGGTTCCTGGCCCCTCCCTTCCTCTCTCCTCCTCTCCTCCCCCCTCCCACACCCTCAAACATCTGTCTGGTGGGAGGCGGGCACAGGAGCTGCTGAAGGCTGGGTCTGGGGCCCTAGCCTGCTGGCCCTGCCAAGGCCTGAGGTTACTGCCTGGGGTCCTGTCCTGCCGAAGCCCAAGGTTGCTGTCTGGAGTGCTCCGTTGCCTTTTCCCTCCCTCCCTTCTGCTTGGGACCCTCCTAAGGGACAGCCATCATTGTGTCATAGGACATAATAACACCGCCGAGAGGACAGGGAGGTATCATCCCTTGGGCACAATCCTAATGCCCTCAAGTTCTCTGGGGAGGCACCTCTTCCCATTTACCCCAACAGCTGCCGCTGCTGACACCCTGCAGCAGGTGCTATGTCTGAGCGACCCCACCTGTGGGCACCATGGCTCTGGGCCCAAGAGTCCCCTGCCCTGTGTGGTGGGCACGCCTCTCAGGGACCTGGCTGCCCAAGCCTGAGAGCTGGCTGCAGCTGCGTCACCTCATCCCGAACATGTCTGCCTGCAAGTGGGACAGTTGAAGGGCCTGGGTCAGGAACCAGGAGACTGAACCTGGCAGAGGCAGGGGTGGAAGGGCAGAGGGCTGTGGCTACTTCTGTGGGCCGTGGAGTGAGAATGGACACAGATAACACAGAGGACCCTGGGCCCTAACACAGGGTTTTACAGTCCTATTTGGGGATGCTGCTGACAGCCAGCAGGCCAGGAAGGGTAGGGCACTCTGGAGCTGGCCTGTCCAGCATGAGAGCTCACTGCCCGCAGACCTATGGCCCCCCACCTCCGAGAGGCGGATGGCTTATACAACATGACTTGCACGTGGTGGAGGGCCCATCATGGAGGCAGCGTCGCTGGCCATGACAGTCCCCTAGGAAGGTCCTCTTCTGCACATGGATGTTCAGGCCTCAGCATGCCAAGTGGGTCAGGGGGCAGGAGGTGGGGGCTGGTGAGGTTCCTGGGGTCCCCACCTGCTCACGGCAGGTTGCAGACACCAACACTCAGAAGCCAAGTGCTGGTCACCAGATAAGTGTCATGACAAGCCGGGGAGGCAGGAGGACCAGGCCTAGTGCCTATGGTGTGAGAGCAGCAGGTTCCTGGCTTTGGGGTGCAGCCCACCAGGGTATTGCCTGTTCACTTCCCTGAACCTGTTCACTTCTGCCCTAGTCCTGCGTCCCCCACACCACATGTGGGGTGTGGTGGCAGCTGCAGGCTCCTGCCGACAGCCCGAGGACTGGCCATCAGCGCCATGGGTACTCCACCCCCAGGGTACTGTGGCCTGTTCATTCCAGGATGCATGGTGACTGGGCCTTGGCAGGTGGCGAGACATGGGGACTGGGCCTAGGCAGTGGTGCCCCAGGCTACTCCCAAATTTAGGACAGGTCCAAAGGGCACCCTGCTCACACCTGAGCAAGCAGGCGCAAGACACGGGGCAGTCGAGGTACTGTGTGGACCTCGCTCCTTGGCGCTGGGAAGGAGGTGGGACGCAGAAGATGCACGCCTGTGGGTGTTTATTCTACTTCAAGTAACAAAACCTACGGTGCCCACGTGTCCATGTACAGTGATATAATACTCTCCATATAAAATACAATTTACAGAAATCTACCAAGTAAACCGGAAGAAACACACTTGATTTTTACATTTGTGTATTTAAATTAGAAAAATCTGCTGTATATGTAAGAAACCTTCACATCATACACTGCGGGGTGTGACACCTACTGGGATGTAACTTCACCCTCTACATCTACACTCCCCATCGACCTCAATGGCTTAACTTACAAAGTTGTGCTATAAAGTGAAAAATCTGTAGTGCTGTACAACGGGATATAGACTCCAAAGAATAAATGAAATTCTCTAATTTTATGTCTGTAAAAGTTTATGAAAATATAAAAAATTATCAAAGTGAAATAAATTAGCCAGATTTTTCCTCACACTTCAGAAGTACTTGAAACACACAAGACAAGAAGTGACTGTGTTTCACAGTGAAAGCTCTCTGCCTTGTCGGAAGTTCCTGAACTAATCAACGCTATTTTCCATCTGACTTTATACACATATTGTCCAATTTTCAATGACAAACTTTAAAATGTATCACCTGACAGATCCAACAGCCTGTAGCCACAGAGGGCTGAGATGTAACACTGGACACGCAAAACGTTCCTGATTATTTGAAGCCAATAAACCCACCCCTTGCCCCCTCTAAAGCATACTTAATTGGTTTATTTTGTCACTTTCTTCCGGCTGGTAACATTTAAACACTTTTCAATAAATTGCTATGTAAAATGCAACAACTTCTACGAGGACAGATGTTGCTTTTAATCATGTTTTTGAAAAAAATTTATAAGGTGATATATAAAAACTGAGCAAACTAAGAAAATTTGTTTTGTTTGAAATCTGTAATTCAAATTTCGTTATGACAAAAGAAAGACGCATGTGTAAGTCTGTGTTTCTCAACACTCTGGATGCGAGCTGCGAATACTGTTCCCCACAGCAGGGGCAGACACGGCTCACCTGTCCCGGGAGCCGCCAGACCTGAGAAGACAGCTCTGGAAACGAATGCAGCCGTGAGTCAGCACGGTGATGGCTCTAGGCTCCAAGGAAAGTCCCTTCAACGTGCAACAGCGACGTTATTGGAAAGAGCATTTTGTAATTTGAAAAAGCAATATGCTTTTCTAGATACTTTCCCATTTCTTTAATTTTAAATGGAAATATTAAGAGTTCTTAGTCTTTTCTTAAAAAATGTCTCAGGATTGTAAAGATGTGAAAGCTTGTAAGAAACCATTTACACAAAATTACAGTAATTTTTGTGTCCAGAATATTCTACCCTGAACTAAGTCTTTAGCTATTTCAAAAGCGATTTGTCCAGCCCCCCTCCTGCCTGTGGCTTTGAAAGGCTCTGCCAAGCGGAGGCTCCAGACAGCCCTGGCCTCCAGCATCACCCTAGCCCTAGGTCTGTGCGGTGGCCTCGGGCCTGGCTTCCCGCACACTCTCCTTGCTCTTGCTGCGGTCCTTGCGGCCGCGCTCCCGTGGCTCCCGCTCCCGCTCCCGGGCCTTGTCTCGGTCCCGCTCTCGGCTGCGGGACCTGTCCCGGTCGCGCCTCCTCTCGCGCTCACGGTTCCTGCTCCGTTCACGGCCACGGTCCCACTCCCGGCTGCGGTCGGCCTCACGCTCCTTGTCCCGGTTGGCACCCCTCTCTCTGCCTTTGTCCCACTCGCGGCTGGAGTCCTTGTCCCTGTGCCTGTCCCACTCCCGGCTCCTTTCCCAGTCCCTCTCCCTGCTCCAGTTCCTACTGCGCTCACGCCTCCGGTCCTCGAAGGCCCGGCCCTGCCGGCTTTCCGCAGGCTGGCCATCAGCCTCCTCAGGTGGCTTCTCCTTGGGCCCGGCCTCAAAGCGCTCTCTAGGCCTTCCTTCAAAGGCCTGGCTCCGGTATTCATGGCCTTTGCCTTCTCGGAAGTCAGACGAGGCCCACTGCCCATCAGGCTCGGGGCCCTGCCCAGATGCACCCGAGGACAGGGCAGTGGGTGGGCCGGCGTCGTCCCACCGGTCCTTCCGGGGCTGTGGGGGGTGACTGGGGAGCTCCAGCAGTGGCCTGGGCCCAGGCTTCAACCCTGGTGGGGCCGGGCCCTGGAAGTGGAAGCGGGAGGGGGCCTGCTCATTCTTTTCAGGAAAGGGCCCAGACCCCCTGGGTCCACCGAATTGCAGGGGTGCTGGTGCCCTTTGATTTGCAAATCGTGGTGGTGAATTTACCCTCTGCTCTTCAAAGGACTGAGGTGGCATTCCCCTGGGACCTGGCATGAAATTTGGAGTTTGGCCCCTGGGTCCTTCAAACTGACTGGGATGAGGCCCTCTAGGGCCAACAAAGTGGCCAGGAGGTGGCCCTCTCTGCCCTCCAAACTGAGTGGGAGGCGGGCCTCCTCGGGGCCCTTTAAGTTGAGACAGCAGAGGCCGTCTTTGGCCTCCAAACTGGAACGGTGCTGTGCCTCTGTTTCCCAGAAACTGGGCTTGTTCTGGTCCTTCAAACTGGGAAGGGGGTCCAGTCATCTCGTTGTAGGGGCCGTCCTGGAACTCCCTTTTCTCCCCATGGGGGTCTTTGCGTTCTTCAAGCTGCGATGGCGCCACGCCTCGTGGTCCACCCAGGTAGGAGGGCGAGGGACCCCTGCCGTCCCCATATGGAGGTGGCCCATGTTGCCCTGAGAACAAGGAAGGGATGGGCCCCTTTTGAGCCCCGAATCTGGCTGGTGGTGGCCCTCGCGTCCCTTCATTTGCAACCATATTCTCCTCTGAAAACGGGGGGACTGGACCCCTTGGTCCTGGGAAACTGGGTCCATGGAGCCCCGACATCCCAAAAGCTCGAGGTACAGGCTCACGCTGGCCCTGACACTGGGGCTGCGGGGTGCCTCCTCTCTGCACAGGCAGGGGAAGAGGGGCAGCGCCCTCGCCAGGCCTGGACTGCAGCTCCCGGTCCCCCTCCATCTCTCCAGCGGGGTTGTCACTGCTTCCAGTAGAATGGTGATTTCTTGGGGCCTCATACTGGGCAGGGCCCAGAGACTTCTCCTGAGGTGTGAACACCGGACCTGAGAAAGGGTCCCTCCCATCGAGCTGCAGCGGGAAGCCAGGCTGCAGGGCCGTGCTGGGCGGTGTGGGCAGCAGCACCCTCCGGGCAGGTCTGGCTATGTCTCCTGCTGTGGGGTGGGCGCCGTCCCCGGACTCCGCCTTCCGGCTGTCCTGCTCAGATGTGGGCAGGGGCTTCTCCCCTGGCACCCACGGGGGCGACACTGACTCCTTTTCTTCCTGGGCCAGCACAGGCGCTTGAGACATGGCAGCCCCTCCAGAAGCGTCTCTCGCAGGCAGAGCACCCTGGGCGCTAGCCAGAGTCCGCGAGGAAGGCTCGTTCTCATTGCTCTCAACTGCCAAGCGCCTGGCCTGCCGCGGGTCCCTCTGGCTGGTGGTCTGGGTCCCTGGGCCTGTGGCAGGAAGCAGAGTTGGCCTGTCTACTGTCTGCTGTTCCTGCTGAAACGGTTCGGCCTTGGACAGGGCTGACTTTGGTGGCGGTGACATCAACGCGTCTGACACGGAGAAATGGGCCATGGAGACCCCGACCGCGGCCCTCTGCTGCCTCAGCGCCTCCTCCTGCTCCTCCAGCTGCCGCTTCTGCTCCTCGATCTGCTTATTCAGCTCCTCTAGCATCTTCTGCTGCTCCATCAGCGAGGGTGTGGTGGTGTACTCAGACGGACGTTCTGTGGCGCTTGCCCTGGCATCCGTGCACATCCTGTTGGGAAGGTCGTCAACGGTCACCTTGGCTTCCTCCAGGATGGTCTCATCCTCAGGGTCGTAGGCCACCTCCTCCCTCTCAGCAGCCTCGGGAGCCGTCTCCATGTCCAGGCGCCGCCCTTGCTCCATGGGCTGGGTGCCAAAGGCCCGCTCAGGGTCGTACTCCTCCTCGGGGTCGTATGGCCTGTCGTCCTCCTCTTCCTCCAGAGCCTTATCCTTAGAGAGCTGCCCAAACTGCTGCACGATTGGGTCTAACAGAGGAGCTGCAGCCACCGCGTCGTCGACCTTGCCCTTGGTGTCCTGCTGGAAGGTGGGGGTGGAGCCTACTGGCTCCTTGGCCAGGGGCTCAAATGTCTTCTTCTTCCCAAAGAGCGTCTGCAGGATATGCTCCAGTGGCGTGGCTGTCTTGGGCACGGCTGGTGTGCTGGCAGGGGCAGCCGCGGTGACTGCTGTGGACACCGGCACAGCGGTGGCCATACTGGGGGCTCCTGGCTTGAGGGCTGACGGCACTTTCAGCACTGGTGGCTCTGGAAGAGGGGGTGGAGGTGGGGGTGACCCGGGGGGTGTAGTGCTGACTGTGGTGTCTGTGGAGTAGAGTTGGTACTTGGGGGGCTTCCTTTCAGGCTGTGGGGCGGTGGTCACTTTTGGGTAGCCTGAGACATCTGTTTCTTCTTGCGGAAGGCGGGCCCGCTTCTCATCTGCTTTGTCCAGCTCTCCAGCATTCGCAGAACGCTTCATTTTTTGACAGATTACTAACCCAAGAATTATATTGGGGCGTGGCGACTCAAGACCTGAAAGACAAAATATTTATGTAAAGATTAAAAGATACATCCAACTTTCCTCCTTCAGAGGTAAACTTGGTAGGGGTAAACATTTGAGAGTAATGTTCAAGACATTCTGCAGCAAAATAAAACCAAGTGTCTGAGGATTATTGCACAAGTGCAGCAGTTCCAGGCCAGGTGAATCAAGTTGATCAGGCCGAT